GGCCTCCAATTCGACATACCGAGTTCAAAGTTGTAGATTTGGAAACTGGTGAAGTTCTCCCACCAGGTTCAAGTGGCATTGTAAACGTTCGGGGCCCACAAGTGATGAAGGGATACTATAAGGTAACATTAACTTTTGTGGATAAGAATGAGCTTTTTAATTTTTCAGTCGCTGATAAGATAATGCTAAAATTTTGTGGGTTTAAATAGTAAAATCTGATAAAAGTTGGTATGACTAATAACATAAAACTTGGGGTACTGTAATATTGGTGAAGAAAAAAGGGTTAGTAAAACTCGTTTTCCCCATTCTTCTCGAGACTCCATTATAAATAGATTACACGAGTGTAATTTAGAACCATGGAAATCTTCAATAGATGTAAACTAGGCATTATTCGTGATCCTTATAACCAGGAATTGTCTTCTTAGCATCTTTATCCTCACAGAAAAGAGGTTCAAAACTTCTAGCTACGGAGCCACCCGTTAAATGTTTTAAACTGCAACTCTTTTACAATATGAGGAACTGAACTGGTTAGTATTATCACATGGTAGGTGTCTGTTATGCACCAAATATTTGCAGGCATAGATTCCATATATATTTACATTTATATGAGTGTATGTGTACACCACTGTCATTAAACCGAATCTACCCCATCAAGATATATCTCAAGTCCAAGCAGGGTTAGCACAGTGTTTCATACAGGATTTAACACAAGATTCCGTATCATGATTAAATTGTTGGTTTACCACTGTCCCAGACGCTTTTAAGAAGAAAAGCTTAAGTTATTATAATGTGAGACCAATATTAATTTATGTTCCACACTAGCCTTAATTTTCCCCCATCTACTTGCAGACTTTCTGAACATATTTACTCTTGTAGACACGTTGCTTCTTTGTACTACTTATCCAAGTCCATAAGATAGTATTTAATGGTTTTACTCTGTTGAATTGGTGAAAATGTTGAGGTGCCCACTAGTTAATGTGTTTAAGTGCTTGGAAAGTGTTCTTGCCAATGTATCTTGGAGATTGGTGCCATTTTGCTGCTGCTTTCACCCAAAATAATCAGAATTCATATTATTTTTTCCTTGCGTGAGATGTCAATTGACCTTTTTGTATTCACATTTTGAACTAGAATCCAGCAGCTACAAAGCAAGTACTAGATGAGGATGGTTGGCTGAGTACTGGAGATATTGGTTGGATTGCTCCTCACCACTCAACAGGGCGAAGTCGTCGTTGTGGAGGTGTTATTGTCCTGGAAGGACGCGCAAAGGATACTATAGTCCTTTCAACAGGTATACAAACATATTTTAATTTTCTTCTACTACACCGCCATGTATCTTCTTGCTAAGAAGTGAAAAGAATAGTAGCAGACCGTTTAGGCCATAGGCCTATGGGGACACCCTCAGAGGCCGACCAGGTGCATTTCCGCTTCCCCATCCTCCCTCTCACCCCCCCCCCCCCCCCCGGGGTTTTTTTTTTTTTTTTTTTAAGAATTTCCCGCCATTTTTCTTCTTTGTCTGAAATCTAGAGAATTTGACGAGTATCTTTATGCTAACTTCTTGTTAAAAAAGTCTCTTTATCATAAAAGAAAGTTAATGTAGTGGATTCCGATTTTATAACTTTGTAATAAATTTCTTCTCATCTCCTTTTCCCCTTTTTTCTCCTCTTAATACCCTACTTGCCGTCTTTTGTTCTTTAATTTTTGTTTGCTTGAAAAATCAGGTGAAAACGTTGAACCAGTGGAGCTTGAGGAAGCTGCCATGAGAAGTAGTCTAATTCAACAAATTGTTGTGGTTGGCCAGGTCGAGTTTCAGCAGCTTTCTTTTGTTCTTTTTTCTTTTTCTGCATTGGGCTTTCCAGAACTATAGTTATCTATATTCTGCTACATTTGAGACGACATGTACTGATTTTGTGTGTCGTATGGCATTTCTTTATGTAGGATCAACGACGACTTGGGGCAATAATTGTTCCAAACAAAGAAGAGGTTTTACTTGCAGCCAAAAAGTTGTCCATTGTAGATGTTAATGCCTCTGAGCTCAGTATGGATAAAATGAAAAACTTGGTATATGAAGATTTAAGAAGATGGTAAGATTTCTTTTTAAATTATCTTTTACACAACGGATATGAATTAGTTACCACCAAAATAAAAACTCATGAAAGAAATTGTCATAATATCGTCGTAAAAAACTTCAAGAACAGAGGCCATTACCGTTAAAAACTTCAAGAAACATACAAGGAATACAGCCTATGAGGACAACATCAGAGGCCATTACAATCTAATGTTTTCTTTTTCTTATAGTTTCCTATCTATTTCATGCAGGACTACAGGGTGCTCGTTTCAAATTGGACCGATTTTGATTGTGGATGAACCCTTCACGGTAAAGTATCTTTGCCCGCGTCTTCATTCAAGTTGCAGACGTGACTGGTAATTGTCTGGTTAGTAATACCTTCTATTGTGCAGATTGATAGTGGACTAATGACTCCAACTATGAAAATTCGAAGGGACCGAGTCGTAGCTCAGTACAAGGATCAAATACATAACCTGTACAAGTAAACATCTTATCCCGAAATTCACCGAAGCAGTTTAAAGTGCATGTATATTTATAGGAAATAATAATTGCAAGGCCTAGCGTGTAGCCAGTCCAATACTTTTTCGAGTCTCTGTAGTGTAAGTTAAGTTCCTTGCTCTCTTGAAACACAACATTATAAAGTTTGTAGATTTGCATGTTGTACCCGAAAGAAGCGTATCTTGACCTGCCAACATAGCCTTCTACGTTACGCTGGAAAGATAATGTCATGATATGAAATTATTCATCTGAATGCAAGCCTAAATCTTCAAGTTTATCAGATTCTACTCTACTTAATAATTTTTTTTCGATTTTGGTTTAAGTAAATTTGTCGTTATAAGATCTACTGTGATACATTTGTATAATTCATAATCTTTTTTTTTCTTTTAGTAATCGATAATTAGTTATTATGAGAAGGGAAATTAGAGGGGTTCGAACTAGCACGGTTTTTATTTTATTGTATTGGCACCTCCATATTATGTTGAACACACTATTTAAAAATCTAATATTGAAGGTGATGAGAGTTAAAAAAAATAATCATCATAAAAACCCTGGAGATTATCACTTTAATCGGTAATTACGTACTGTGCTAAACTGAACCAGACTCGCACAAAACTTACTCGTTATAGAAGCTCCCACTGTGCATGTACTCGGAAAATTACAACTATGTAGTGTGTTTCTTTAATTTAAGGCTTATTAGTTGGATTGTATATGAAACTCCCACTAAGTCTCAATTTACCTTTTAAAATTGGTTTTGTTTTATTTTACCCACTGAAACCCATTTTCAACTCATTTTGTCTCACTTCACCTCATCCCGTTGAAAAGGTAAAATTCAAATCCAATAAATCATTAAATTCCTTTCTTTTCTTTCATGAACCCTAATTTGTTTTGTCAAGATGATTAGTCGACTAAACCCAAGCACAGGATGGAGAGAAAGCAAAAGCCAAAAGGTGTTTAAAAAGTGAAATGTCTAAAATACCTTTGAATTTAACATTAGGTGAAGTGAAACCAAAAGAATTGAAATTGGAATTGGCAGTTTCAGAGGACAGAATGAGACTAAATCAGTTTCAAATGATAACTTGATAAGTGGAGATAGCTTTAGGGGAATTCAACTAGTAAACCTTAATTTAAGGGTTGTTTAATTGGTACCACCCATATTGATGAATACACCTCACATAAAATTTAAATATCAAATGCCTTGTATGCTCTAATATGAAACGACTTATATGCCCTAATTCTTATTTCTCTCACCACTTTGACTTTTGGGTTATTCTAATCATCCGTTTCTGAAAATTTTCCAACAATTTCATCCGGGTTTTGTTCAAGTTGATTTAAAACTTGCTTAATTTTTGGGAAATTTTGGTGCTTGAATCTGTGGGGTGCTATCAAAAATGGTGACAATAAATTTGGGTCTTTGCATGCACTATGTATTGAACTTTGTTAATGGAGCATTCGTGCATATAAAAAAAGACAAGCCTCAATTTTTTTTCCTAGAAGCTACTCGATGTAATCCAACCCACTTGGAAAACAGAGTGGGAGAGCAAGACGGCTTTTCTCAGAGAAAGGGTTTTCAGGAGGGACTAGGATTCCCTCCCCTCTTCTTTTCATCCCCTTCTCTCCCTTCTTTTTGCATTCTGTATTTTGTCTTTCTCTTTCTATATAAAATGTTGATGTTGCTTAACCGTGTCCGTTCAAATATGAGAATAAGGAATGAGAGGGTTCCAAAGAGGGGAGATAATCCTAGACCTTTCAGGAGGCCTTGAGATGAGCAGCTCCTTAGTGCTTTGCCTCATGAGAGTCAAGAGTGTAAGAGTTGCATTTCTAGTTTCGAAATGGGTTTCTCCTCGGATGACCTCTCACTTACAAATAAAGAAGAATACTACCAAATCGTAATAAAAAATAAAAAATAAATATTAAAAAAAACCTAATTTAATTGCTTTTATTTTCATAAATATTTATTAAATGCCTAGATAACATATAATTAGTAGACACGTGTGACGTGGCCCAATTATATAAGGATTAGGAGTAGTGATACATCACGGTTAAGAGAAAATTTTAATGAGATGGAACACTAGATGTTATTATATAAGTGGATGAAAATTTTATTTTTCAAGTGTCCCTACGCTTATATGATGACATATATTGTACCATTTTGTGTTCCAAGTATGCTAAATAATCTCTCCAGGTTAACTGGTGGAGCTAAAAATAAGCAGAGAATCCTTATCCGTAGCAAAATAGGACTCTTTTTCGTTTGTAGTTTTAAATCCATTCTAATACATATATGGCCTGAATCACTGAGAAAACAACAATTTTCTCCATACTTTCTTCTTCCTCTCCTCGCTCCATAACAATCTACCGTCTCCGCAACTCAACGACACAACAACCCTAAGTGGGGAGGTCATGCTGATAAACACTTCTCCCTCCCTCTCTCTCGACGATGAAGAAACTTAAAGCGTGCTGCAGGCACCCACCAAGCAGCAGCGACGGATCCCTGAAACTAAAAGTTAATGAAGAAGAAGAGCACGATCATAAACCCTACATCCTTCAGTTACCAGACGATGTAACAGTGCAGATCTTCTGCAAACTCCCAATCAAAACGCTCGTCGAGTGCAACCGTACATGCAAGTCCTGGCGTTGTTTGCTATCGGACCCTCAGTTCACAGAAGACCTATTTTCACGAACGCCGGATTGCCTTTTGTTCAACAAACTGAATCACCCCAACTGGAAAGGCCAGTTTCTGGTCGACTTCGACAGGGCTTCAAACCGAAACCAGGTCGTGCTCAAGCGCATCAGTAAAATCATCTACCCAAATGTCAAAGCTAAGGTACATGAATATTCCCTTGTGGGTTCGTGCAATGGCTTCCTCTGCTACCGCGAATCTCTCAGTGTACCCTTCGATGACAGAGGTCCATTGTTTTTACTTGTCTAATCCTGTCACCGGTGAGTCTTTAACTCTTCCAACACCTGCCGAACCTGCAAAGAGAGATTGTTTCGGGTTTGGGTTTAGTCCCGTTAGCAACCTCTATAAAGTAGTCCGGATTATGAGTCCGTTTGAAGGGTCTTGTGATGTAATGGTTTTGAAAGTTGGCTCTGGGATTTGGAGAAAAACTGGAGAATCCATCTACAGTTTCCATGGAAATTGTGGGGTTTATCTCAATGGATTTCTTTATTGGATTGCTCAAAGTCGTAACAGGGACTGTCCTTTTCTATATGCATATGGCATCCCTGTTTCTCTATGTGCAGGTGCTCCCTTTCTATATGCATTTGATGTCGAAAGAGAGTGCTTCCAACAGTTACCACTACCGCCTTGCCGTTTGCATCTGACAGTTGCTCCGCTCAAGCTCGGAGTCCTCAATGGTTGTCTCTTCCTAATTCTTAGATCAACATCTAATATGATTGAGATTTGGGTGATGAAGGAGTCTTGGACTAAAGAGCATGAGTTCACATACTCTTCTAAGTTTTGTGTTACTAATATATTGAAATTCACAAAGGAAGGGAAGATCTTGTTTACGCATGATAATCAATTGTGGGCTTACACTCCTAAGAGGGTTGTAAGAGTTGACAATGATGATTTACCTTCAAATCTTTCAGAAGGATTTCTCCATATTCCCAACTTCGCACCGCTCTGGCCATCTTTACTAAACAGAAATCAGGTCAAGCAGGAAAGTGACAAGGAATCAGAATGAGCAGGCCCTTTCTGCATATTCCAAGCTTTTTTAGTATTGTTTAGAGTTTGAGTTGACGACGTCTCATTACGAGATTTCGTATTTTAGTAGCTGATAGATATGTATCCTCTTGCTAGTAGAGGTTTGATTTTCTTCTGAGATGCATCGTCTTCTTTCTTTTTACCGTGTTTCTATTTCATATTCCGATCATAATCCTCAGAGTCGCAGTTTGCTCAGCTACCAGACACTTCTCGTTGTTTGGTCACTGAGACAATGGGAATTAAAGGAAATATATTTTTTAATTTTTAACAGTAAGTCTTTTACTGAGCTTGGCTTATACAAATTTCAACCAATATTGCAAATATATCGACATTACTTTTCCCTTCTTTATATGCTCTCACAGTGACAAGTGAGCCTTTGAGGTTTGTTCGTCTCATATAGTCTTTCTTTGTGAGGAAAGAACTCCTTAGTTGATTAGTTTGTTAGAATTTAGATTGCAATTTTCTTATGTGCGTGTTAATTTTTTAACACCATTTTGTTACGTGATAAAGGTTTTAAAGATTCAGAAGTAGCTTTTTCTGCAGAGTAATGCTAAGACTAAATTTATAGACAAAATTTTGGAAACTGAAGAACATGAAAATTGATGATTGAGTTATTACTTAAATATTGATTAACGTGCTTATTTCTATTGATGACACATAATTTAATTTGCAAATTTAGTCTCCAAACTTAGTCTCTCTAACATTACCCATTTCTGCATCATGCCATTCATATTTGAACCTTTCTTTTTCCATTAGTTTTGTGGATTATTGCAACAGTGGAGGAGTTCGATTGAGCATCCTCGTCCGCTGAGTGAGCGTCGTGGTAAGGTCTGCAAAGAAAGAGCTTCCAGATGGCTAGAATCCCTAGCGGTATGCTCTGTCGCACGTCTGCTAGCAATGACGTGATACAATGCAGTAGAGTCGTTAGAGGCTGCAATGATGGGCCTAGGCACATGAGAGTTAGGGTTTTTGAATCAATGGGCTCTGGCCGCGAAATTGATTCAACATGGACCGTCTATTGGGGGAGGGGGGGGTTATTGTTTCTCTGTAGATGGTGGCCGAGCTGATGGTTGCTTCTCAGCAGGAGGCGGCTGAACTGGCGGTGGACTGTTTGACAGGAATCGGCTGAATGAGGTAGGGATGCTCCGATGGTAGTTGTTGTCGCCGTTGTTTTTGTTGTCGGGGCTGTTGCGGATGCTGCTGTTTTTGCGTCGTGGAGATTCTTGACGGCAATTTGGTGCCTTCACGTAGCCACGTCAATCCCAATTCGCGGCGAGAGTGCCTCCAAGCCTCGGATAAAGGCTGCGAAGGGTGGTGATCAACGAAAACTTTGGATCCACGTTCCTTGACCATGGAGAATTCATGACAATTCCAGATTGCGAGAATTGGCTGTTGTTGTTCTTGCTCGTGGTTTTTCACGTGTTCACCATTGTTACTTGATGTGAACAAGGATGATGAATGAAGGATAAAGAAACGAGGGAAGATAATGAAATTTACTCTCTTCGCTTAAATATCTAAGCACACGTTCTATAACTCAATTTTACTCTCAATAAAAACACTAATTTGTGGATGCAAATTTCGTACACAGTTGACTTGACGAAATTTCACTAACAAGAGAGCCTAGAAAAAATGAGAGGGTGTCAGCCAAAGGGCCTCCCAGATGCGTAAGTCAAAAAGGTAATTTGAGAGAAAATAAGAACTTGAAAAGTTTAGAGTAGTAAGTGTCGATTACCTATTTTCTGGTTTGATTTAGCTATTTATAGACCTGAACCCTAGCAGAAAGCTGGGATGAGAGGTTACAAACCATACTAGGTAGACCTTAAAGTTATGCTAGTGTTGGTGCACACCAATTCTTGCAGTGTCCATGTTGGTAAGATCGTTAGCGCACTTGACACTCAAGTGGAGACTTTGTAGAATCGGCTTTCCACAATCATTGGTTCGGGTATGGCCTGATGGCAGGACATATCATGGCCCAAAACACCTTTCATTTTTTGTGCCTCAAAGGCCTAATACTCGCAGGTTAGACAGGTGTCACAGTATATCATGTAGGATAAATAGATGTCACGTTTCCTAAAGTGGTTTCTGATCTGCTCACAATGTCAAGAGTAAAACCGTCATAGTGAGCGTATAATCCATGTATTCTTAATTCAATCGAATTACCCATCTAAATTTTGATACATTTTGTCTCTGCGTATCATTTGTAAACGGGAAACTATCATTTTGACACTAATGCAACTTTAGAATAGTAGTCCTCAAACGCGCTTATATATATTTGGGAGCGGCGGCAAAACCAGAAAACCACAAAAATATCTCTTTATCTGATATATTTCTCACTCTGTCCATTTGTAATTTGTATAACTTGAGTTTGTAATTTTTTATTTGAATAGTAGCCTTCTAATTTTGGATTAAGTATTCGTTTGAAAAATAAAGTGGTGTGGGGGTCGTAATTCGTGATTGGCATGGGCACTTTGTGGCGGCCAGTGCTTGGAGAAAGAAGGGCATTTCGTTTGTCGCACACGAGATATTTTTTATTGTAACCAGAACATATGGAGTACATTACGTATTTTTATATAAGTGGTGAGAAATTTTATTTTTAAGTTATTAATTTCTTAACACATATATCCACTATTTATAGAATAACACGTAGTATACCATCCTATATACCGATTATACTAATAAATTTCTCATCGCACACATCAAATTGCTAGAAACTTGGGAAGGTATCCGGTAGCAGAGCGTATGGGTGTACTGTGTACAACAGATTATGGTCGAGAGTAATTTTACTCATGCTCTCGTTGCGATTTAACGACCGGTCTAGGGACATATCTGCTATTCGTGCGATTGCGGGGGACGTGGTGTACTGGGCGGCTGTTTTTTAATTTAAACAGATCATGCCTGGAACTAGAAGTTGTAATGAGGTTGCCCATGAAGCTCAGTTTTCCGTGTTAATTGGCAACGAGATAGTTTGGTTCGAAGATCAACGTGACACTACATAGGATTCACTCGTCCAAGATTTGATATAACTCTCATTTAAGGTCATTAATATATTGTTTGTTTAAAAAAGAAAATTTAAAAGATGATTTGAAAATTTTGAATTTTAATAATAAGAACAAAATAAAGGATAAAATAAATAGTATTATGATTGACTTTTTAATGTAAAAATGTAATTTTTTATTAAAGTAAACAGTACAATGAGCTTTTCGTTAAAATTCCTTTAAAAAAATCGTTTAAGAAATTAAGAGTCCCTAATTAATTAAGCAAGGGAAAGATACCCCGTCCCTCCCTCCCTCCAATTCATCATCAATAACGTTAGTAAAAGTAAAAGTAAAAAATAAAATAAAAATAAATATATGCCATTATCTCCTCAAATTCATGTTCTTGGTCCGACGTGAACAACTTCCATCGACTCGGCACAGAAAACGTTGTCTTCTAACTCTTTGCTCCGCACTCTTTCACACAACTTTTGCATTTCCTTCACGGCTTCACCTTCTTTTCAACTTCCTGCAATCAATCACCCACACTTCTCTCTTTCTCTCTCTCTCTCTGTCTGTCTATAAATACATTAAAAGGGAGACGCACAGAAGAAGCTATTCTGGGAGCTCTGATGAACCCAATTTCCACAGTTTCTGCTTCTGCTTCTGTCAACCAAATGGCCACCTTTTTCTTAGCGCCAAACTACGTCCTGGGCAGCTCTTCTGATTGCGGGCACACCCTTCAGTTCCGTTCCAACAATAATTCCAGAAGCGGACAACTTTTTCATAGAAAATGGCACGGAAGCCGAGGTGGGATTTCTGTCAGTCGTGGATTTAGAGTGTTATGCCAGTCCAAGGTGATTCCTCAACACCCTTTCGAGAGTTCTATATGTTTTCTTTGAAAACGGATTCCTTAATGGCGGTATCTGTAATTATTCGTACTATTCAGTTTATAGTTTTGTGTTCATAGTATATTAGTATTGCCTGTAACGTTAGTAGTCTTCAATTCTGTCATTAGTGGTGAGAATTTATGGTTCCACGAAAACATGATGAGACGGTATTCTGAAATTGGCTGTTTTGACGATCCTGGACTTCTTCTTTTTGTCAAGATGATATTCTCAACTACTCTTATCTACGAAGAGTGGTATTGGAACTTGGGGTGCAAGAGATTGGGCACACAGTCTCATCCACCTGACCTAACCCACGTCTGTGGCATTCATGGACTTGTAAAACAAGGTTTAGGATATAACTTTTCGTTTGTGTGGAATATATTGTATTGTAAAATTCTCATAAAAGTACTAGGTGATCAAGTTAATTTGTTGATCATCTTTGGCTTCATAAGGTTTTTGTGTTCTATGCATTAGTTTTGTTCCTTTGTTGGTGTCGTCTATGCCCTATTCATACCACGAGTTTTTCTGTAGGGGAATGATTTTGCACACCCTTTTTCACATCCTGCAAACCCCTCTCCTTTTTCAGCCATTGGATTGAACAATCAAGGGAGAATCAAGGGCTAGAATTAAGGGGACGTGGTGTAGAAGGTGAAAAAAGGTGTGAAGAAATCACTCTTCTTTATGATGTTATAGTATGGATTCTTCTTGATTACCAGAATTCTGATTCATATTGGGCCAGAGTTTTGAATTGGAGAAAAAAGTTTTATTGGCTTTGAATTTGAATTTGAATTCTTACTGAAAAGCTGCTAACTTGGACATGCTTTGAATTTCAAATACTAGATGTTACCTCCAGGCTCCGGCTAATACACAACTGTGTCTGTGGACACCTGAACAAAAGCTGTATATGCCCATCATCTTCGCTCTTCACTCTTTTGCAGATTTCTTTTCAAATATGGAATTAGAACCTGATATATGCATGCTTCCATTGTTTATAGAGCTAGTATTTTTCCAGCTAGAGGATTTGGTTTGTACTCTCATTCCTCTATCTGCTTGATTGCTTAAGATCATGCCACATCCATATAGCTAGTGTGTGTCGTCTTCTAACTTCATCACCTTAT